CCACTTCACAATCTACATACCCGTGCAGCATAATATTTGATCTCTTGCTTTTCTCACAATTCCATTTCTCCTTCCTTCCTTTTCTTTTTCCTTTTTTTTTGTTTTGAGTAGCCATATTTTTTCCTCCTCTCCTGTCTTCTCCTTCATCAATTCCCACCTCCCCCCACCCTCCATCCCCAACTCCCCATGGACCTCCCCTCCATAGATGAGAATTCATTTACCATCGGCGGCCAATTCCAAGGGAATCATTGTTGAAAACCCCGGCCGGGCCCAGCGCGGTATTGTGTACGCTTGATTGTGTTTTCTACCTGTTTCAGAAACTTGGGCGAGTGCTTCATAGAAAACTGGATTAATCCCTCGCCTCCACGGCTGATTTCAATTTCAAAGACCAAGTCAAAATTGGTCGAGGGAAGCCTGCGCTCCCTGGGCGTGCATCTAGAATGAGAATTTATGAGCAAGAGTCTATGAGGAGATTCGCCGAGCCTCAGAGCGAAAGCACACCTTTGGTTGAAGAAGGAAAGCGTGACGCGGGTTGGGATTTTCCCGATGACACGTCGTTCGCTTCCAGAGGTGGATGTCCAAAGTCATGTCTCTCTCTGACTGGCCGGGATAGCGGGTCCGAGACCTCATTGATATTCATCGCTCTCCACACGCATTGTCCCAACTTGGACATAGCCCAATGTACTCACTTCACGAGCACAGACTCAAAAAAGTTCCATCTGCAACTGCATTGTTTGCAGACGGACCTCTTTGGCAGTGTGTTTGCTTGTGCTGTAGAGTAGGGGCCTGACAACTAGAATGCTGTACTCCAAGTTTTCCCAGAAATAAAAAAAGTCAATCCACTTGCATTGCTGAAAATAAATGTCAGTTTATTTCCTCATGCCGTTGGTTGTTTGGTGCTCTGAATGTTTCCTCAATCTGAAAATATCGAAAGTAAGAGCGTACGCACGTTTACTTTTAGTACACCATTTCTAAGCAAGGAAAAAGCAATCTCTTTCATCAGACAATCCTCCATAATGTTCAACCTTTTTCTGGCCTTGGGCGTTTCTATTTTGTTTTCTTTTATTAGAAACTCTATCGTAACAGTGAGGAGATTGACTTTACTTGTGTTAACATAGTCTGTTGGAAAATGGAAGAGGGTAATTTTAGCTAAGAAGACGTAAATAATAGTGTGTTCCCTGCCCCAAAAAAGGGAACAACGCCCCCACGCCCCCCAACTATTTCTTGAAAACAAAACAAAAAGTATTTTTAAAAGAACCAAACAGGCATACCAAGAACAAGAAAGTGAAACACAGCGAAATCAAACCAGATCTGACCAAACAAAAAAACAAAAAACAAAACAACAACAACAACAACAAAAACAAAAAACAACAACAAAAATAGATACTAAATTAAAAGTCACCCAGCATGGAATCATGCTGAAGTCTATTGACTGCAACAGCAACAGGTTTAACAACTACACAACCGACGTCGCTAATAAGCTGTTGAAGTTGCAAAAGACGAAACTTCTGAAAATAAAATCAGAAATGTTTTGCCATTAGCACAATTTAGAATATTTAAGGGGCAGACTTCAATCTGCCTGTATGGGCCAACCCGAGCTGATAGGAGTATAACGCCTCAGCTGAAAGATCGAGATACTAGATAAAACGTCTCTCCCCACGGATATCGAACTCCAATCATTCGCATGTGATGGCGAAGTGCCTAGTCGCTATACCGCAGACACCAAATATATCAAGAGCCAGACTTGAAAAAGCAACAACAATAAAACAAAAAAGCACTAACATTAGGCTAAGAGCGACAATCAAGCTCAAGAAAATATAAGATATGGGTTGCAGACACAGGCCAGATCAGGAGACAATTTTAATTTTGTTTGATTACTGACTGTTAGTGAAACTGTGCTGTAAGTACACTCCGTTTTTCTTTATATTCTGCCATAGGCAGAAACGTTCTCATGGAAAAAGTGCTTTTCGATATGATGTTACGTCTTCGAAAAGTGTTATACGAAAAAACAGATTACGTATATCTTACAAGTAGCTTTAAGATAAAATCCAACGGCATTGGATGCAAACGTTATTCTAAAATATCCGATTTTTTCTTTTAAATGGACGACCTGTAGTATTGAATTCTGTAGTTAAGTACATTGCGATCTCATTGGGTGCAAATACTTCTAATTTTTGTTTCGATTTGAGTTATTACACACGAAAAGATATTCATAATATCATGAACATTTCAAGCACATTTTACGTTCCATATGGCTTACGAATCTCTTTTGTTCCGAAAAATCAGGTGAATCATAATATATAAAATCCTTGTCCATCCAATTACCATATGTATGTCATGATTATCTTTTGATTCCCCCCTTGGTATTCCAGGTACGACGGAGTATGCGCCAAAACTTCTGCAACCAGACGCACTGCAACAGATATGGATCGAAAATATTCGGGGTAACTTGAAGCCCTGGCGGCGATGAGATCTATTCAGGTATGTATCCCTGGGTGTTTCTGTCAACATATGTCTTCTGTCACAAGAGTACGTTGAGTCTCCCTCCTACGACTATTTTTCTTCTCCACCCCCCCTTTTTTAAGTTAATAGTTGTGGGCTGCCTTTCTTGGACTGATCTGGGTTTTTGGTTTTTTTGTTTGTTTTTATATTGTGGGCTTTCGTTCTAGTACAGATCTTTCCCTTTGTTTTAATATTGTTGGCCTCTCCCCAGGACTGATTTTTTAATCTATCTATCTATCTATCTATCTATCTATCTATCTATCTATCTATCTATCTATCTATCTATCTATCTATCTATCTATCTATCTATCTATCTATCTATCTC